ATCAACAAAGACTCATCAGAAATGCTGATGAGTCTTTGTTGATGAAACACAGTGTAAAATGAAAAAAAATTTTGTTAAGTGATTTTCTACTAATTTATAATTGCTCTGTTCTTTTAAGAACAGTGAGCACTCGATTTTGTAGAATACATTTTTTTTTAAATTGTTTAAATATATATATATATATATATATATATATATATATATATATATATATATATATATATATATATATATATATATATATATTTACTAAATGATCGATATACAAATATACTAACCAGTAACTGTTAAAGCACAGACAACATATTTTCTGCATTTTGATATCATGTTCTGTTTCCATCATTGGATGGAACAAACTCAGCTACTTTTTGTTCAATATTTGTTGCTTTTAACTTTTGGCAAACAATATTAATAAACACATAAAATATATTCCCTAATTAAAGGATAATATTTATTATACAATGAAAACTTATCATACTATAATCAGAATGTAAACCATGAAACTTTGATTATTTGAAAGTATATTTTTCTAGTTTCTTATTATTGCCAATAAAAAAAACTCTAAAAGAAAAAAAAACTAAATATTTTACACTACTTTTGCTATATTTAAAATTGATGTCTGTGATATCTTAAAATAATACCTGTGATATTTTATATATCCACTTTCCAATTTTTGTGTGTTTCTGCTCTGTTTGAAGCATAAAGGTTTGTTGCACATGATGAGCATATAATCCTGGGACAACATTCTTTTTCCAAATCAAACTCACTCCATATAAGGTTTTTAATTGTTTTGCAATCCCAGAAGTGATTTTTAAAACTGTAGGTTCTTTTACCAAAGATTTCCAAGCAGCATGCACTTATTATGTTTGAATATTCTGCCATTTCTCACAGAACTGATTTTTATATATATTATATTTTATAATCTCTTTATTTGTCAGGTTTTGAACTTTATATGAACTTAACTATTTCCTACAAACGCAAAAATCTTCCAGCACAAATTAAAAAACCTAATTTCAACCATTTTGGCAAAAATTTCACATTTAATGATGGTATAACTAATCATAAAAATTTTTTTTTTGGTTTATTTTAAAAACTTGATGAAAAAATTGCGTAAATGATGCAGCTTTTTTCAAAGATATTCAAAGCAAGTAAATCAAGAGTTTTTATACTTAGCAGTTAGTTTTGATTTTAAAAACAATCCAGAACATCTTTTTTAAACCTAATAAACCAGCAAAAAAATTTGGAATAAATTTACCCTAAGGATTGCAATGGAACACTGTGACCAAGTAATTACTATACAACAAATATTATAAAACAGCTTTTTTCAAATAATGAGAAAAAAAAACTGATTTAATTACTGTTGATTTTTGATCAACTCTGCAAAATGCAAATTATTCTAAAAAATCACTAGAAACATATTTGAAATGCTTTAGATAAAAGCATAATAATATTAGAACCAGTGTAATTGAGGACATTTTAGGAAATCAATGATGAGAATGTAGAATAATAAACTAAAGTTAATTAGTTTTATGAGGTTACTCTGCAGCAGACAGGGCAGCAGCATTCATTTTTAGAGTTAATGGTTACATAAATATTTTTCATGCTCATAAGTGCTAACACTGTACAGTTTCCTGTAAACAATGCATGGAAGACATTATTACAATAAAGAATCTTATCGGCCATGCAAGAAAAATTGTCAAAATTGCAAGAAACATAAAGTGAATTGACTTCTTCAGAGACTAATCTGGTATCTCATACCTTGTAATACCTTAAATAATTTCAAATCAAGCAAGTGCAGTATAATATGATTGATAGGTAAATAATAAATTTTATTTTTAATAAAAATATTTAAAAAAACTATAACTGTTTTTGGTCTTTTTATTTTCTAAATAAAGAGATTTTAAACACAGAGCCAATTTGATACGATTAAAACAAAGTTTTAAGCAGCCCTAAAAAGAATTTCAGAAGATCAACCACTTTTAGGGACTCCCTTTTTGAATTAGATGAGTTTTAAATGAAGTTTTTCCAAAAGTTTAACAGGATGACTTTTAAGCTGATTTGTCATTGACCCATATCTCAAGTAACTTTTGATAAACTATTTTCCGTGTTAAAGCACAGGACTAGACCATCACAGTTGCTTTATATTTGATTTAAATTACTTTTTTAAATTTAAATGCAATTCACCTCCCAAATGCATAAAAGGCTACTACAGATGAAGAGGCTACATAAATGTGGTTATAACCCTTTCTCAACTCGGAAACATGAATTGCATTGATTTTTTCTTGTGACTTTATAATTTAACTTATATTAATAAAACTAATAAAATGTAATCTGATTTATATGGATTTGGTGGGCAGGGCTCGAAATAACGAACTTTTTTCTACTGGACAATTTGTCTGATAAAGACAAAAGTTTTCCAGACATGTCCAATAAAAATTAAAGAAGTGCGATTAAACGCCATTCTTGACCACGCAAAAAATATTTTGTTTTTACAACTTGACCACGCAATTTGTTTTGACAACTCTAGGCGTTTCAAAATGCGCTGAAAATAAAAAGAAAATTTGTAAGATAAATTGTCTTACAAAAAGAAAATTTTTTAAAAAAAGAAAAAACCTAAGCTCAAAAAACTAAAATTTGAAAAGAAAAATATATTTATACAACATTTTTTAAAAATTACTATACTATGCAAAACGCTTTGTAAATTATTAATTACATAAATTATCACATCAATATATTAAATACATAAATTATGTAATTATTAAATACATAAATAAATATGTAATAAAAATGTATAATAAAAATACAAAATTATTAAATACATAAATTGCTATGTAAATATATTAAATACATAAATTATTAAGTTAACAAATTAATTTTTTAAACATTTATTAAGTAAAAAAATAATTATGTTTAGAATAAACCCATATTTAAATTATCAAAGAATATTATACGTAATTACATTTATATAAATAAGTATTTCTTTTTATCTTTTCAAACTTTTTCTAGGATTAATTTTATAAACACTTTTAATAATGAAAGTTTTTAGTGCAAAAACTCCACGTTACGTAGCAACTGCATTTAAATAGTGTAATAAAAAGTACTGGTTTCTAAAGCATTAAAATAACTATTACATTAAATTTTTTATAAAATAAATTTAAAAAGGGTTTTAAAAGCTAAAATATTTGTTTGAAATTTATAAAAACCATCGGACAAAAAATAAAATAAATACTAAACTGATTTAATAACTAATTGCAATGTTTTAATCTAGCCATGTGTTTAACTTCAATTTGGTTTTATATAAAAAATAAAAAGTTCAAAAAATAAAGTTTATATGCAATACTGAATTTATTATTAATTTTGGAACAACTAAAATGATTAGAAAATAAATGCACATAAAATGTTGGACAAAATGATCAATAGTTGTCATTTTTACCAGGTGCCCAATGTCCAGCGCTTATTTCGAGCCCTGGAGAGGGTGTTGGCTAGGCCAATAGCACCGCATTTACAGCGGCATTCTGAATGGGTTAAAAAATCCCTAAAGTCAATGATTTTTTTTTTTTTTTTTTTTTTTGTGGTAAAATATAACTTTTAAGAGGATTTTAGACTTAATTTTTTCTTAGATTCAAATTTTCTTTTTGAATCATGAATACCTTCATTCCATGAATCAATTAACTAGAATTAATTTTTATGTTTTAGGACAAAAATTGGTAAAGTATGACTATATTATTTTGTGGATATAGCCATTCTAAAATAACTTTCAATGCAACAAAACTTTGCCAGCCTGCAGTTAACTAAGTATAACATACTTGCGACAAACTTGGCAAACTAAGAACAACTCTTAGTAACATCAGGTAATTTGTAACAAAATTAATGAAATTGTAGATATGTATTTTTTTAAACCCAATTTTTTTATTTTATTGATATTTTAGAATGGATTTTAAGACTCTATTTTTATTTTCGCAGCGATGCCAAAAGTTTATTTAGCAAATTTATGCAGCATGATCAAATGCAAAACAAATTTATTAAAAATAAAATATTTTGTGTTTTAAAACTTAACTTGTGAGAAAAACTAAAATTATAGAAACTTATTAAAACTAATTTTCCAGTAAAACAAATAAAGATATCAGTAAACTAGTTGCTTAAATTTCATATGAATCAAAAAATTATGGGACCTAATATTTTTTACAAACTTTTTTGCTATGTGCTTTAGATTACTAAATCAGTGCTACCAAGCTCTACTTCATAGATATAGTTAGTAACTTTAGTGCTACTGAATAGTACAAAACCATCTACTTTATATCTAGCACAAAAGCACAACTTTTTTGTTTTGCAGTAAAATTTTCTAAGCAAAAACCTAATTTAAGATGAAAACTTAAAGACTAGACACTCATGTGCAAAAAAAATTTATATATCAATAATTATCTATATATTTAAAAAACTATATAAAAAAATTTACTTTTATATCAATTAAAAAAAATAAAAACAATTTATATATGCTAATTTTTGTGGTCATTTTTAAGTTTACAACCTAAAAAGAATTTTTACTTTCAATTTGAAAAATACAAATCAGATTCATAAAATTAATTTTTTCATAAATTTCATAAAGTAATTTTTAAGATTCATAAAAGTTATTTTTTTTAAGTTAAAAGATTCACAGCAAAAAAGATCAAATTTGTCTAAAACATTATGTACATAAATTAAAATGGAATTAAGATTGTCTAATTTACTTTACTTGTGACGAGCATAAAGCGTTTTTGTAGAGAATAAATATACTGAATGTACAATATTGCTCGATAATTTTATTGATAGAGAATATTCAAATTTTTGAGATTAAGGCTTGACCAATGCACTGAACTAGGCTTTAGTCTGAATATCAATTTGTTGAAAAAATTGTTAAATTGGCATTTAAAGTTATAAAATTTGCAATTTTATGCAAATTTGCAATATATGCAAATTTACATTAAAAAAATGTTGGTAAAAAAAAAGAAAGTTTTTCTTACCTACAAGAAAAATTTAAAGACGACGATTCAGTTAAATTTAAAGGTCAATATTTTAGAAGAAATCTGCTAATTGTAAATTATTGTCCTTAAGTACTATTGCGAAAACTTCTTTCCTTCTGGCAAATATATACAACAAGCTATTTATAGTGGAGTTTAGTTTGTCAAAACTATCGGCCTTCATTTATCTCCGTTAAAATTTTATGTTTATATAACACCTCCGTGTTAACAAGCCATGTAACCAATGCAAAATATTAACTCGATCACGAGAACATCAATTTTTTTTTTTAAATGCATGTTTAGCATCTTGCGTAATATTTCTTACGTACTGAATTAAACACCCTTCCTTGTTAATCTCACAAAAAAAATTTAAACATAAAAGTTATAAATGATGTGTCGTGGGGGAGGGGGAAAGGGAAGAGAGTAGGAGTAGGGGCGACAGGCACAGCCTTTTTTTCGAGGATCCCATTTGTAATAAACATACTTTATTAATCCTTTTAAAAAAGGTTATCATAACAATTACGTACAGGAATTTACAAAGTTATTTTAGTTTACAATTATTTTTAATCAAATAAGAAACATTTAATATTATATGTTTGGCTATTTAAAAAAGTGTTTACACTAGACATATTACTAAAAGCAAGCATTTAGGAACAATGACGGATCCAAAGTTTCTTGATGAGGGAGGTGGAGGATGGGTATTGATACTAAAACTAAAAAGAAAAGCTTCTTAAATTTTCAAAAGCGCCTCAAAATTAAAAATAAAAAATACACGCCCCCCCCCCAATCCTCCCCCCTTTAATTGACAATTCAAAGTTTTATTGACAAAATCTCAGTTTTAATTTAAATTTATGCCAAACCAGAAAAAACTTTCGTCTGCCATAGTTGATTCCTGATATTTTTTTATATTCGTCAGCAGATCAAAATCGTTTAATAAATGTAGGTTAAGGTAAAGAGGGGGGGGAGGGCGCTTTTATAGTTTTTTAATTCCGATCCAGACCATTTAGAAAGGAGGAGGAGGTGTGATTTTTAGGTTTTTTTGATTCGATGGATCCAGACCATCTGGTAAGAGGATAATATTAGGTTTAATGATTTGCAATCATAAATTATAAAACTTCGAGCTAATTTTTCTTAGAATATTAGTTTTTAAATTTTTACATTAAAAGACTAATATTCTAAGAAAAATTAAATAAGTTTCCAAAAAATATTCTTTACGTAAAATCTAAGGGAGGGAGGTTGCATCCCTGCACCCTCCTTCTCTATAGGGCCGCATACTGTCAGTTTACTGAATCTTCCCTAAGCAGATGTAACAGAAAAAATTTTATAAATTATTGCCAAGCTAGGAAAACCTGGCGCCATTCCTTTTTTTTTTTTTGATCTAGAATGAAAATACGTCTTTTAATCGTTAATCAGTAATGATGTTTACATATCTTCAAAAATATCAAACTCTACCACCTTATATTTATTTATTGGTTCTGTAATTTTCTCCAGGCTAGTTAACGTAATAATATTGCTGCAAAGATATACGACTATTGCAATTTTTTACAATCAATTGATCTCTAATATATGTTTTTAATATTAGTAATAAAAAAGTATATTAGAGATCAATTTTTTATATATCTCAACCTGGAGCACTATTTTTTAAATTTAAAGTTGATAAAAATAACAAATATTAATAATATGTATGATAACAATATCTATGATAGCTATAATAACAAATAACTGTCGGCAAAGAAGAAGAATTTAATGAAGGCTATTTAAAAACTACTGTCAATATTAATATAAAACAAAAGTAAAGACATGCACTGAAATAAATTACAATCTAAATCAGTGCCGAATCAAGGGGGGCTTTAGCCCCGGGCCCCAAAAAATTTTAGAGGACCTTTTTTTTATTTATTTATTTTTAGTCATTTTTAGGCTCTGGCCTATAAAAAGGCCTCCGAAAACAAAAATAGCCTCGGGCCCCAAGAAGTCTTAATCCGCCACTGATCTAAATAACCGCTCTTTTATTAATTACACTCTAAATAACCAATTAAAATTAACAGAAGTAAAACTATTTTTTTTTAAATGCAAAAAAAAAACAACAACAAACAAACAACAAGATAAGCAAAAGCAGACACATCATTTGTTAGTGTTTAAGCTAACTTCCAGTCACGGAGAAAACTCCAAACATTTATATGCTTTTACTTCTGTCAAAAAAGAATACGTGTAAAAAATTCAATGATTGGAGCCTGGGAACAAAAAGGCCCTAATATTTGAGATACCCCTGCCTCAAACGTGAGAGCAACAAGTTGAAAAAATATTCTTTTCGTTATTCTTAACTAAATTAATATTCATCGATAAATTGTAAATTTTAAAAATAATTTCTTAGCGTTCAAAAATTTCCACAAAAAATGTGTAACCCCCTCAAATTGATGGGAGTTCAAACTTTACAGGGTCATAATTTTAGAATGCTAAATGATATTGAGTGAAATTTAAAGTTTATTGATCAATATTAATTAAGCTAAAGATAGTAAAATAAAATTTTTATGAACTTGTTGATCTCCAATTTAGGGCAGGGGTGACTCAAATGTTGGGACTTTTTTGTTCACATACACCAAGCATTGTATTCTTCTGCTGAGCATCTTGATTTGAAATAAAGTAAAAACATTAATGTTTAGAATTTACTTCATGTCTAGAAGTTAGGTAAAGCAAACACTAAAAAAATCTAAAATCGCGCCAGATTCCATAGAATTTCCATAGTTATTTTTCATAGCTTACGCTCTTAAACATGCCCGTTATTCGTAGAGTTACTATCATTTCTAACTTGAGTAAACAATATTTTATGCATTCTTCTGTTTTTCTGTATTTAATAAGACTATAAATTATATGTTTTATATAATCCATCACATTTAATATGATTCCAATTAAACGTATAGACATGAACAACTAGACATATTTGCAATAGCTAGAATATGATATATGTATGCATTTTATAATGCATCATAATATGATATCATATTGTGATATATGAGATGTTGGTCTCAAGACTAAAATCTTGGTCCCGAGAGGTTTTGAGACTCATTTAACTGTCTTGTTCTTAGTCTTGGTATTAAATCAAAAAGTCTTGGTCTAAGTCTTGGCCTAAATTATTTTTACGTCTCTGGATATTATTACATTATAATGCATTTTAAAATGCATATATTTATTATGTATACATTTAATTATAAATTATGCATATACTTACTCTAACTATTGCCAATAGCTTTGCATAACTTGAAATAGTATAGCAAGTATGTCAAGTAAATCAGTTTGATTCTTAATGTTGATTAGATTTAAAACAAATATTTTAGTTTTGATGTACATTAGATAATTAGTGTATTAATACACTAGTTATCTAATGTATATTGAAACTAATATAAATATTATTATAAAACTTATCTAATATATTAGATAAGCTTAGGTAAGCAGTGTATCAGATAAGATTAGGTAACTAATGTACAAAAGATAACTTTATAAGATAGCTTTATTTGGCGCAAAAATGTTTGAAGTTAAAACACTTTATTGTATGGTTAATGTGTATTAATTATTAAAAAAATCTTATTTTATGATAAATGTTTTTTCAATTTTAGTTCTGTTAAACTGTTTTTGTCTTTTTGTTGGTGCGACCATTCAAGTCGGCATTTAGTTAGTGACTAGATCTAGTAGAGATATTTATTATGTTTTTTCTTTACTATTAAATAGCAGAATAATTAGAATATGTAAATAATGTAATATTTTGTGTAATACTTTGTGTAATATTTTGTGTATAAATCCTTTTATTTATACTTTATTATTTTTTTTAAATTACTGCATTTTAAGCTGACAAGTTTGACTGGTGGTATAAATAATGTTGTTCATTTATATCATTTATAGTATTGTCAGTTTTTATATGCATTTAATATTCTTAAAAATAGTTCAAAAGCTGTCTAAATTAAATAGTGAATTGACTCAGTTTGTAATGATTTTGGGACTCAGTTTATAATGATGTTCTTATAAACTTAGTTGGAGAAGGAAAACTACAGTAGTTTTTTAAATATATCAGAAAGGAAAGTTAATGCACAAGATTTTACTTCTCAATTAAATATAAGCATATAAAAGCTATGCTTATAATATATAAGAGTTATAAGAGTTGAAAACCTCTCATCTTGACATTAAAAACACTAATATAAGCATATAAAAGCAATGTTTATAAATAATACACTATTATTTATTATAATACAATTATTTTTTATTTTTTTATATATTCAATTAATGTGAAGTGCTCGTCTTAAATAAAAATAAATAATTTATGCACACACTTATTTATTTATATTTATTTAATAAATATTTATTATATTTTTACATTACTATACTGGCGATAAAAATTATGCTTTACATCTTTCAAATAGATTGGACGAAGAAGAAAGCTTTTTTTAAATTATGATTAATAAGTAATAATATATTTGATGCTGCCTTGTTCAATATAAATGTTACCAACATACAGGTAGCATTTATATATGTGCATAAATCTTTTTATATTGACTTAATCATTTTATATAAATTACTGCATTATCAGCAGGCAAGTTTGACTGGCAGTATAAATTTTTAATTCGTTTATTTAGCCGTACATTTACAAGTTCCGTTTTTTAAAATATATATAAAGATGGCAAGGATGTGAAAAAAACAGGTTTGTAGCTCAGACAAAAAAGTAATTTTTTTTTTTTAATTACAATTTATAAGTAATACTATATTTGTTGCTGCCTTGTTATTTATAAATGTTACTAACATGCAGGTAACATTAATATATGTATTAGTTTGCATAAATCTTTTTATTTTAACTTTATCATTTTATTTAAATAACATTTTAGGCAGGAATGTTTGACTGGAAATATAAACAATGTTATACATCATGCAGATAGCATGAATGAAAAAGAGGTAATAATCTTATAACTGTTATTTATAAATAATGATATATTGATTGCTACTTTTTTCTATATAAATATTACCCAACATTTGTCAACATTTATATAGAACGTTCAAAAAGTTGTGAAATTATAAAGTAAGTTATAATACATAATAATTATAAGTATTAATGAATAAGTAAATAAAAACAATTAGTATGTATGTATTAATTGTATGATGTATTTTCTAGATTGGTGAAATAGACAATGATACTAACTGTGGTGAAAACAATGAATATCCATATGTAAATGGTACTTTGTTTGATGTTTACCTGGTTCTACAGACA